GCCTGATGGCCACCATTAAATCCGTAAATTTAGGTCCAAGTATAGCTAATGGACCTATATTTCCTCCGGGAGTAGAACCGCATCGAAATCCGTTTGCAGTGCAGAGGAGGTATCTTATAAACTGGTGTTCATATTGTAGTAGGTGAACGAAGAAATTCCAGGCCACCTCCACCACCTGAAGATGACTCCGAAGCGGAAGGTATAAACTGTTCGCCATGCTGTGATAATGAAAACGTGAGGTGTGTTGAGTTTCCTTTTCGATTGAACCGACTTACAATGTCGCAGAATTAGGCAGTAGTAATAGTAGCATTCTGATATGTGAAAATTATATACAGCTTTTGCTTTATTATCGTGCTCTTATTTGGTTGCGAGCTCAACTTACAATCCCGAAGCTCGTCTGCGCATTATTACTGCATAAAAAATGTCTGCATTTGCTGTGGACAGTGGAGCACTCAAAAAATCGATTTCTTTCAACGTAATCCAAAAATAGTGGGCACATTGCTTTTTTGAACACTTTCGAGAATTTCCTTCTGAATATCCATAAGCCACCAATAATAACGCTTTTGTATAAAGTAACTTTCGTGTGTCATGCTGAAGCACCTTGCAGCACCTCACGCTCAATCTTCCAGCGGCGCTTCCAAAAACTCAGACTTATTTGACGCCATCCGAATTTGTGTTGCTGTACCTCAATCGTCGACAGTCAAAAAGTCCTTCCGTGCTTTTTTTAGTAGTTACTGGAATGTGCAGAAATTTGTCCTTATTCTGCATGAAAGGGGCAGATTACTCGAAGAAGTGCGTTTGCGGTGCAGATTTTTAGGCTAAAAACATGTTTTGGCACACAAATGAATACAAAAAGCCCGATATGGGCTACATACATCTGGATTGAGCGCAAAAAGTTATATTCGAGCTTATTAAATTACAAGGATGAGAGAATGAATAATGTGTCACTTGATAATCACTGCCATTCTGTCGCAAAGCATCGGATTACCATGCTATCATGGATTTGGTGACAGTCTTCACTGCTTGCGGCGTAGGAGCTTTTTGGTAGCTTCACACTTCGGCGGTGCTGCTCAAAATGAGAATTACTTGAAATCACGAGCTTTAACTCTAGGACCTTATGAAATAATGCGCTGCGACTGTGTCCGGGTGTAGAACTTGATCAGAAAAATTGATATGCACTAGTATCTGCTAAAACTTGGGCAAATCTAGTTTACTTTTCAGGAAACTGCATTTATTTCCTAAGTGTACGTTTACTTTTGAACTTCCCTAATACATTTCGGGCCTACTCTTTATAAACATTCATCTCTCGAAAGTTCGAGCAGATTTGCGAGATGTTTTGTTTCAGCTTCTTACTAGCATGGAAACCCAAAACGCGTCAGCTATTGTAACTTCATCAGTCTAAACATGGCTGGAAGGATAATTTGTAATTGTTTTCTTAGTGAGCGTGGAAGTTCTGATGGGACTATCAACTATATTTTTCTGCTGAGACTGAAAATCAAAAGAAAAACTGCATGACTTGGTTTGAGCCTTTCTTTTAACTTTTACAGGCTTGTTTGAAGATATTTGCAAAAATTGGCGCAA